GCGGGAAAGAGTCCTCAAACTTTCTTTTCTTTTTTTGGCTGTTCCACTTTCATTTCTTCCCCTACTGCTACAAAGGGGTGGAAAAAACTTCCAACCCCCGCCCCCAATAAACCCCATTTTAATCACTCTCTTGTTGCTCTCAGAACCCAAACGGCATTTTTCAACTTGAGAAGTAAACTTTCACAGGAAGTAAAGTGATTCGGGGATATTTGGCTGTTGCCAAGAAGCTTTTCTCAGAGAAAAATAAATGCTTTTCAGACAAAGTTGTCCCCTCACTTCAGCACCACGCTTCTGGCCCAGTATTTTCAGCCCAGCACATAAAACCTAGGTTCCCTTGAAAAGACGAGGCAATAGGCTGAGGTAGCAGCTGTGCCTTTTCTCTGCTCTGTAACACACCTCTCAGCAGCACAGAACGGCCTTCCCAGACAGAGGACAAAATCTTGAGGGGCCCCTCTGCACTGGGACCTGTGGCGAACAGCATAAAAGGGCGAGAAAGGCCAGTAAGACTTCTGTGATTTATGTTATTTGAACTGAAGATGGGTGTTCAGCAGTCCCCGAGCATGAGGCAACTGCCCCTCCTGTGCCCCCTTTGCAGAAGAATACGTGTGTGCTGAGTTCAGCTCAGTACAGGCTGTCAAAGACGTGTGCTGAGCACATGCACTCACAGAGACTCGACATCTGTTCTGCCGTGCTTCACTCCTCTTGTCATCACAACTAAACACAAATTCAGGCTGAAAAGAAATCTGTTTGTCTCTTGCAAACAGAGAGAAACCTAACAGCCCTCAAATGCTGCTGGTATTTTTCCTTCAACAGTAAGGATGTAGTTTATTTTCCTGGCTACTGAAAGGTGGTAGGTGTTCTTGCTGTTCTGTCACATCAGCCTACAACAGTAGAAAGCCATCATTTCCTCAGACAGCTAAAGTGGTAGTTAGAGGTGAGAAGTGCTGCCAGCCCCTGGCAAATGATACCCTCCCCTCTCAACAGAGTCATCACTGCGGGTACAAGGAAACGCAAGAGATGCTAATATCTGCATGGACTTCTGTGGGCAGCTCCCCTGCAACTGTTGCTCAGCTTCAATAATGCTTTAATTCACCCCTACTGTATAAACTCCCATGGTTGAGTGTGACAGGAGACCCCCAGAATCAAATCCTCTGAATTCAATGCAGAAATGTGACTTTAGGGGTCCTGTTGCATCCTAGTACAAGTATAATCAACCATACGGAAATTGCTGTCCAGACTTCTGCAAACACAATGAGGAAGGTGCAACTGCAGGGGTGGTGGTGACCAAAGCACTCATAGATGTCCTAGCTACTTCCTCTAGGGTAAAAATAGCACAAATTTTCTTGATTGCAGCGGAAGCAAGGCTGCATTAACGTATAGCACTTCAGAAATACTTCTTTGAACTAACAAAACCTCACGATCTCCCATGGGGGTAAATGTTTTTCTTTACAGGTTTCAGGAAGAACAGAGGCAGGCTGGAGGTTATGCAAGGCACCCAAGCACATGCACTAAAGGCAGTGCTAGATCCCAGATTAGAGCCCAGAGTCCTGAAATTCAGGAGTCTGATCAGTTGATTGCACTGCCTTTGAATGCTCCTATTGCACAGAGAGCTCAAGCATTTCTCTTTCCAGAGTTAAAAACAGACACAAGATCTTCCAAAACCTGCGGA